AAAAAAATAAAAATAGAGACTTTAAAGTTGTAATGATATGGCAGTCTTTCTTCTGCTTTACAAATTGTTCTTTTGTTCTGGATTAAATGAAGTGAACATATATGGCAACATGAAATGAAATGGTAGCAGTAAATGTATGTATTCTTTAAAAGTAAATATATTTTGCATAATCCAATTAAAAATGGGCAGAAGACAAAGACATTTCACCAAAGAAGAGGTACAGATGGCCAATCGACACATGAAAAGTTGCTCAATATCAGTAATCATCAGGGAAATGTAGATTAAACCACAGTGAGATGTTACCTCACACCTGTCAGAATGGCTAAAATCTAAAGCATAAGAAACAACAGATGTGGAGAAAAAGGAACCCTCATGCACTGTTGGTGGGAATGCAAACTTGTGAAGCCACTGTGGAAAACAGTATGAAGGTTCCTCAAAAAAGTTAAAATAGAATTCCTACATGATGCATATATTCCACTACTGTATATTTAGCCAAAGAATACAAAAACATGAATTTGAAGAGATATGTATATCCCTGTGTTTATCACAACATTATTTACAATAGGCAAATTATGGGAGCACCCCTAGTATCCTTCGATATAGATGGAAGAAGTGGTATAGATGAAGAAGTGGTATGTGTATGCACATGTGTGTGTGCAGACACACACACACACACACACACACATATGTATATATGTAATGGAATATTACTCAACCATAAAAATGAATGAAATCTTGGCATTTGCAATAACATGGATAGATCTGGAGGGTATAAGTCTAAGTGAAAGAAGTCAGTCACAGCATCTGGGTGGCTCAGTTAGTTGAGCATCCAACTTTAGCTCAGGTCATGATCTCATGGTTTGTGGGTTCCAGGCCCATATGGGGCTTGCTGAGTCCTCTTCCAATCGTCTGTCCCTGACTCTCTCTGCCCCTCCCCCACCTCATGCACGCACATGCCCACTCTTTATCTCTTTCAAAAATAAATAAACGTTAAGAAATAAAGACTGTCAGAGAAGGACAAATACCAAATGATTTCAGTAATATGTAGAATTTAAGAAAGAAAACGAACAAAGGGAAAAAGACAAACAAACAAAAAAAAAACCAGACTCTTAACTGTAGAGAACAAACTGATGGTTACCAGAAGGGAGGTGAGGGAAAGGGTGGGTGTAATAGGTGATGAGGGTACTCTCATCACGATGAACATTGGGTAATGCATAGAATTGTTGAATCACTGTATTGTACACCTGAACTAATATAACACCATGTGTTAACTCTACTGGAATTTTTTTTTTTTAATGACCCAAGAGCACACACCTCAGAAAAATGAATTAAATACATGTTCAAAGAGGAAGTGAAATTTATTCTGTAATTTTCACTCTTTTATAGTTCTTTTACCTACCAATATAGAAAGCATGTTTATTTTTCAAGATTTTATTTTTAAGTAATCTCTGTACCCAATATAAGGATTGAACTCACAACCCTGAACTGAAGAGTCATATACTCTACTGACTGAGCCAGCCAGCCTCCCCTACAAAGTATTTCAGTTGTTTCTGTTATAGCTAAATTAACCTCACCCAGTTTTTGCAGACCATGTTCTTTACATACATATTTTGATATTTAGTTCAGCAGGTTCCAACCATCATAAAACAGTCAAAAGTGCAAGTTGCCTTTCCCTTTGATGAATATTTTCAGATTGAGTGTGAAGCTAAAGGAAATCCAGAACCAACGTGAGTATTCTTTCAAACAAATCATTGTTTAATGCATACAGTGTTTTCACTTCTCTGTACTCTGACTGTTATAAGCTTTTTGGAGTATAAATCTACATGTGACTAAGGTAAGCATGCCAAAAGAATGATAGCTATGTCTATGAAGATAAAGTTTGGCTATTTTACATATGTTCTTGTGCAAGTCGAATTTATTTTCACCGTTGAATGATTTACCTTATGTTAAATACTTACCATGGGCTCTGGCACCGTGGAAATATTCTGTCATTCCTTATGTTACAAGTGAAAAAGGCAGTCAAAACCCAAAGCATCCTTTATTCTACTTAGTGAAAGGTAACATTTGTTAAGCCAAATGCTTAATACATTTATACATGACATTGTATACATAGTTATTATTGCAAGTCTTAAATGTGACACATATCTTAGTGAATAGGTCGTTACTTGATATTTAAGTTATCATAGAAATATTTAGTCATCCTGGATGGCAGAATGCTATATGCATTGTATATTTTTATCTAGTAGTTTATTAGTTAAATAACTGTTAATGTAAGTGATCATAATCAGTGATGAAAGATTTTTAAAATACCTCCTGTACTTTGGAAGGGAGAAAGAAATGTGGGTGTATTGGGAATGAGGTGGGAGAAGCTGTAGGGAAAATTTTAGATTTTAATGTAGGTGATTCTCAAGTTGTCAGCAAAGTTACCCATTTATTGATTTGCTTAATTCCTTTATATTAATTAAGAAGGTACATATTTAATGAAAATTATTTGAAATTGTATTGTGGCTCTCATGATTACTGCCTGATAATATGTTATTTTAAAAATCATTCTTAATGAATCATTAACATGTTAAATTATCATTATTATCTATATTTCACCAAATGGAATATATTCAATCAATATATGTAAATGTGGACAGAATTGTATGGAATGAAAACGAATTTAGTTGATCATCTGGCTTGATCAGTATGGATCAATCAATATTATGATATATATTAATGTTAATGAACTGAATTATTGTATCAAAAGATAATACACAATCATATTATCAGATATTATTAATGATCAAATTTATCTGTGTCTGTAATCAGAATGAGTTTAATTATGAAATACTACTAGCACTTATAATAAATTCAGAAGTCAGAATAGAATCTGCTAGTAACATTATTTCTTATTTTCCTAGATGCAAGTCCAATATAATTATGTAAGAAAATAAAATAAAATCTATACATATAAGAAAATATGATTATTAATATTTATTATTATTGTTGTTATTATTATGTAATTTGTTATTTTATCTGAAAACCCAAGAATATTCATTCCCTGGACAAAAAACAAGCTTTTATAAATACAAAGGGGTTACAATAAGTGGCCAATAATACTTTTTAAAGAACCTTAATTAGATGTCCATGCAAGGCAGTTAGAAAATAAATAGGAAACAAGAAGGAAAAAATATCTCATCACACTACCAAAAGGAAAAAATCTAGCAATCTTAACAATTAGTGGTAGCAACATCAACAAAAACAATATCAAATACTATGTAATAAGACCTATGCAGGATTTAAATTGGGGGTGGTGACTACAAAATTCTGCCTAGGATCGGGAAAGAAGATTTCAAAGAATGAAAAGATGTAGCATATTGCCAAGTGGAAGTGTTTAATTCTGTATATGTAAAGTAATCCCAGTCAACGTACTGGAATTTAAAAGAACAGATTCTCTGTGTTCTTTGTAAGTAAAGCCAATAGAACATAAAACAGAGAGAGAAAAAGGAGTAAAAGTAGTGGAGTGGGGGGCAGGCGTACTCCCAACAAAACTATGTGTGCCATGAAGGTTTGTTAATCCTGTTGAGAGAATAATCAGCTAGGCTAGTGTAATAATATGGTGTCCTAAAACATTACCCAGTTTGCATGGGTAATTCATATATGAAATGCTAACTAAAGTCAAGTTGGGAAGTCATTATTAGATTGATAAGGTTGTTTTAAAAAAGGCTTTTTAGAGCCTCATCCATACAAATGACATGGTGGTCACATATTACGGTGAGAACTTAACTGTAGGGTTTTTTCTGGAATACAGTTCTGTAACATTTATCAACAACTGTAAAAATTTTCTTATGCTATTTGTCTATCAGTCTTTGAAGAGATTGTCCTAATGAAATATTAGATAAGAACCAAAAAAATAAATATGTTAAGGTTGTGTGCACAATTTGTTTATAAAAGGGAGAAAATTCAAATCATTGAGTAACTTATACAGTAATCATATGACAGAAGATAATGTAGTCATAGAAACTGTCTTTAGTAGCATTGTAATAATTAGAAAACCTAATTTTTCCAAAATTATATATTCATTGTGGTCTCAAATATGTTACTAATATGTCTAAAAGTAATGTTAGGAAATACCACATTTAATAGTACTTGTTTGTTTAATTTTGAGTGAGCTTTTCACATACACACATGATGGCACATTATATGTTTGTATGGAGTAGTCTTTGAAATACTAGTAAAATACCTTTCCGGTTGGAAAAGCTAAAATAGCTTCAAAAAGAACAGAACAAAACCTATTTTCAATTTCTGTTCTCTCAGCTGTCACAGCTCTTTTGTGGCTTGGTCTTAGTTCACCTTGCTATAACAAATATGCTACAGACTGGGTAGCTTGAACAACAAGCACATATTTGTTACACACTTCTGGAGGCCAGGCAGACCAAGATCAAGGCCTTGGCTGATTTGGTGTCTGATGAGGACCTGCTTTCTGGTTCATATACAACTATTTTCTTGCTGTTACCTCACATGACTTAAGACAGCAGAAATGCTTTCTGGAGTCTCCTTTATAAGGCTGCTAATCCCATTCATGAGAACTCTACCCTCATGATCTAAGCACCTCCCATATACCCTACCTCCAAATACGCTTACAATAAGGGATTGGGCTTGAATATATGAATTTGGGGGAGACAGAAACATTCAGTCTACAGCAGCTTGTGAGATTTCTCAGACTCTTCTAAGGCTTTTTTTTTTTTGTATTCTATTATATAGCCAATTAAAAATCTTTTTTTCTTAAACCATAAATTGCCTTGGTTTTGTCATTGTTGTGCTTTTGATTATGACTACTTTAAAATTAAGAAATACATTTTCATTTTTCAGGATTATTTACTTTTCTTTTATCTTACAGATTTATGTGGACTAAGGACGACAAGACTTTTGATCTCTCTGACTCTCGGATAATTGTGTCTAACAACTCAGGAACATTTAAGATCCCAAATGAGGGGCACATATCTCATTTTCAAGGGAAATACCGCTGCTTTGCTTCTAATAAACTGGGGGTTGCTATGTCAGAAGAAATAGAATTTATAGTACCAAGTAAGTGTTACAATGGATATTCCATATTACAAATATTTTAGTGAAATGTTGAAGAGAATAATAACACATTCATAAATTAATTACCAGCTTAAATATGCCCTATGTTTCATTATAAGGGAAGTTATCTTCTAGATCTTGATACTTTAAATATGATCTTTGAAAACAACATAATTTTGCTGTGTTTCAATATTCTTATATCTAACATGGGAAAAAATAAGAGTCTGTGTTGCCTAATAAGATGAGAATCAAGCTAAATGCATTAGTTAGATGTGGCTAAATTTCATGGCTGCAACAAGTATTCTCCAGGCCCACATGTTAATTCCCTGATTATGTGGTTGGCTCTGGGTCTGGCAGCTTTTTAGGCTAGGTGTTCTCCATGCAGCCTTTTGGAGGTCCCAGCCACTGGAAATAGCGTCATTCTGCGAGTGTACCATGTGAAATTTACACCACCTTGGTCAAAGAATCTGGGGCAGAGACCAGGCAATAATTGCTTCCAACAAGAAACTATACAGGCAACTTCTCATAGTTTGTCAGGTGGGCAAAGCCAATCTCATAGCCCTACTTTACTCCAGCAATATGAGTGCCCATTGGGAGAGGATAGCCAGTAATTGGTATATATTAACAATGTTTTCTGTAAATAATAATCATGGAAAACTGTAAACTACTTTACTGTTAAGGGTGTGTTTTATCAATAACTGCTACGAAGATTAAGTGACTCCTTTATTACCATATTTTGCCTCTACAGCATGGGATCTCTGATGACCAACTTCCACATTTGGTCACTTATTTTCCCTGCTCTTAAGGTATCCCACATTACCTGATTCTAACTAAAATCTTTGCAGAGTCCATTCTTATGTAAAAACTGTTGTCAGCTTCTATTTGGCAATTTCTTTTTGCAGACTTATAGACACTAAAGAGATTCAGAGTCATTGCCTTTCCAGGATATTGACACTTTATGCTGGAAGCCAGTGAGAATGTACACAAACCTCAGAAAAACAAATAATGAAAAGACGTATCCTAAAAAATTGGACAGGGGACTAGATTTAAATGATTCTAAAGTCCTTATATTATTCTAGATAAGAATTTAGAGTCTTACAAGTAAAGTATGCATCTTAAGATTTATAAAGTAATTACATTAAAAATATAGAGTAAAATATGAATGGTTAACAGACCCTGTTGTTTGAAGGAGAAAAAGAGAAGAAATGTGAGAAAAGGAAAGAAAAAACTGTACAAATAAATCCAAATATATTACTAATTGAAGATGAGAGTAAATACACTAAATGCTTCAAGTTTTTTTCTTTAAAGAAAGGTATGGATTGTTTACCTTGTAGCACATCTAAATCATAAGGGTACAGAGTTATTGAAACTACAAGATGGAAATGATGTTCCAGATAAATGCTATTCAAAACAAAATGGGAATGTCCGAATTAATATTAGTCAAAATAGAATTCATTTTTATTTTTTAAAAATGTTTATTAATTTTTGAGAGTGAGAGAGACAGAGCATGGGCAGGGGAAGGGCAGAGAGAGAGGGAGACACAGAATCTGAAGCAGGCTCCAGGCTCTGAGCTGTCAGCCCAGAGCCCGACGTGAGGCTTGAGATCATGGCCTGAGCCGAAGGCAGACACTTAATCAAATGAGCCACCCAGGTGCCCCTAGAATTTATTTTTAAAAGCCTTCCTGAAGATTAATTCCCTAGGCATATATAATATTAAAATATATGAAGCAAAAATAGAAGTACAAGTGGAAATGGACAAATCTATCATAATAATGAGAGATACTAAAATATGTTTCATTTTTTGGTAGCTCAAGCAGACAAAACATCAGTAAGTATATAGAAGATTTAAAGAAGCCAATTATAAGCTCCAACTAATGAACATGTATAGAACATTGCACCTAAAACTGCAGAATGCATTTTTTTCAATATTTGATGACATATTAGCTATGAAATAAATATGACCCAAATGCAATTGAATTAGAAGTCAATAATACCAACAAATTAGAGAAGCCTTATATCTTTGAAAATCAATAAACAGATGTCTAAGAAACTCATAGGTCAAATAAGAAATGGCAAAAGAAAATAGAACATATTTTGAAGTGACAGTGGTAGCAATTCTACATAGGAAAACACGCATGAGGCAGCCAAAACGTTATTTAGACAGATACATTTCATCTTAGAAACATACATTAGAAAAGAATAGGTGAAAATTAATGATTAAGCTTTTTTATTTTTATTTTTTAATGTTTGTATATTTTGAAAGAGAGAGAGAGAGAGAAAAAACACAAGTGGGGGAGGGGCTGAGAGAGGGAGACATAGAATCTGAAGCAGGCTCCAGGCTCTGACCCATGAACAATGAGATCATGACCTGAGCCAAAGTCAGATGCTTAGCCTACTGAGTCCCCCAGTGATCTAAGCTTTTTAGGTAACATAGTTTTAAGATGAAAATGCATGAATTAACTTAAGGCAACAGAATAAACTAAAAAAAAAATTGATGGGATGAAATAACGTGGAAGCAGAAAATAAATCCAACAAAGAGATGTGAAACCTTTATAGTTGAAAAATATTTTAAAATATATAGATAAATAGAAAAAATATACCTTTTTCAAATGAAAATATGAGAATGGGCTCATCACCATTAGTAGTCAGAAATAGATGTACTGTAACCCACATAATAAAAGCATTTGCTCCCACAAAGTTGGGAAATATTACGAAGTCTGAGAGTAATAATTTTAGTTGGGAATGTGCAGCTCCCATAATCTACTACCATTGCAAGTGGACTTTCCTGCTCTGTGGAAAATATTTGTCAGTCTCTCCTAAATGGAAGATGGTCTCACCTGTAACCTGGCTCTTCCATTTCCTTCCTCATGTGTGCGGCACTCATCTGTGTCAGTTGGGCATATTTGTGATTCCATTGCTTGTATTAAAAAATATATTGGAAAAAAACATGAGTGTATCCATGATAGGATGAGTAAACCTATGGTGGTATAGTTACTTGCAGTGAAAATTGATGAATCTTGGGAATATGTTGAATAATCAAAGCAATTCTCATAATAATACATACACTATGATTTTATTAACAGAAGTGCAAAATATGGGAAGATAAACTATTGTTTAGGAGGATACTTGTATGTGGTAAATTATAATGAAAAACAAACAATCATGAAAACACAATTTCAGGGGCCCCTGGGTGGCTCAGTTGGTTAAATGTCTGATTTCAGCTTAGGTCACAGTTTCACAGTTGAGGAGTTTGAGCCCTGCATCAGACTCCATGCTGAAAGTACAGAGCCTGCTTGGGATTCTCTCTGTCCCTCTCTCTCTATGTCCCTCCCTCATTCCTGCACTCTTTTTCTCTCAAAAACAAATAATAAAATTAAAAAAGAAAAATTGCAAGAAGATTAAAAAAAAAAGAAGAAGAAGAAAACACAAGGATAGTAGTTTCCTCTAATGGAAGGGGGAAGGGATGGATTCTGTACCAGACAGGAAGGTCATGGTGACACTGTGAGTTTTGTACAGTGGGGTGGTGGATAAGAGTGTTGGCTGTTTTTGTTTGTTTCTTTTTGTTCTTTGCAAATGGCTTTTTTGCATATGCAAAATTTATAAGTACCATATTTACTTGTCTGTATTAGATATACTGGGATATTAAGTAAGGTGTTATAGCATAGTAATGGCAAAAGTAGAGGCATGTAAACTTGAAAACTGGCCTCAGGAGTTTAGGTTTGAAATGACATTCACTAGTAGATGTTCATGAATTCTGGATCAGAAAGTTATTACCATGAAATTTGTGGTTGTGATCATAAAACCAGACAGATGTAATTATCTATAAGTGTGTAACTATAGTCATGTTATAGTTTATATTATAAAACCAGATATTGTAGTCTAACTATAACCATATAATCTATGTATCTAATTAAGTAAAATAGGTGAAATAAGATATGTGTGAGAGGGATATTAAAAATCTGTTGTAGAAGGCAAAGCATCAGCATGATCCCCAACCTGAACTCTGATGGTTGCTATGGAGACACAAAGGAAAAAGCTAGACCTATTGCAGAGAAGGAAATGGCACATGTGAATATGAGATTCTGCAATTAAAGGGTTTTAAAAAATATTTTTTTCTCATTATCTAAGCAGACCAAGTGAAGTCATGAACATTGTGAGGGTAATTCTGGCCAGAATCGGCTAGCATTGCAGTGAAGAGATGAGATTTGGATGTGAGCTATGTAGTGGGTAATTGCTATGTTTTTCTGCTGCTATAGAAAAAAGCAAAATAAATTAGGTTTCTTATGCATCATTTCCAGTCTCTCCTGAAATTACTTCATCGTCTAACAGCTTTCTGCAATCATTTCTGTTTTGAAGAGGACCGCTATCCCAATCCTTTGGGGTTTAGAAGTCAGAGACCATTTAAAGTTTCCTACAATGTTATCAATTGATTCTTTTCTTAAGATGTAGAGAATCAATTCTTTTTTTATTGATAGAAACTTTGTGATTCGAATTTTAGAGTGTCATCTCTGATGTCTTAAAGTTTTCTTTAGACTAACCTTAAAGGCTTTTTAGCCCCCTAAGTTTCTACACGAGGACAATAACTGGAAATCCCATTATTACTTCTTACAAACAGAAACCTTTTACAGGCTGTTCGGCTTTCTGCTTTCAATAACACTGCAGTTGAGTGTGCTAGGGAATGAAAGAGTAAAAGAAAAACCAACCAAACAAACACAATGTACTGTTTTCAAACATAGGAAAAATCACTTCACTAAATGGATTTCCCGCAATATGGCGTGGAGAGTTAGTCCGTGAATTATTCAACATGTCTTTATTAAACTCCCCTCACGTGCCAGCCACTTTTCTAGTAATTTGAGAGATAGCAGTGAACAAAACAGAGGCTGTCCTCAAGAAACTTCTATCCTGTGTATGTGGTGAGTGGTTCTGAGAAGAAGATAAGGGTCTTTCTAGCCTTTATTTTGACAACCGCCAGTGGTTGATATGACGATACAAACAATTCTCTT